AGGAGGAATTACAGTCAAACCAGGTCAAGATTCCATTCATGAATTGATTATTTGAATAGAGAACCCGTTTGTCGCTTCTGTAACTTGTAGCCGGTATCAAATTGCATTCAAATGATCGGTGAAGTTTTGACTGCACCTGTTTTAAGTATACGATGAGATGGAAAATATTTCAATGGATGAAACTTCCATTTAGGCATTCTTCAAATTCAAGAAAACTGAGCCGGCAGAAATTTCAGAACGAACTCGCGTGTGTATTCACTGCTCATTACGCAAGCAAAAATGCAGACTGAAATCAACAACAACTAACGGATGGCGGTATTTTGGCCAATCGAAACAGCGCAAATCATGCGTATTGTTTCCTATCCAATCAGAAAAAAGTCCAGATTCTGGCATTTTTACATGTGATCCGACAAAGAAATGTATCATGCCCTCTTCCCGTGAGAGACATAAAGGGCTAATAGGGAAAGGGCATGATCTCAGGCTACACACGAATTGACCCAGTCCCCTCCAGGCCCCTCCCCAGCCCTCATTCAAAATGTGGGTGTGGCTCTGGAGACTATATGTAGTCTTGCATGTGGTACAAACCCATAACAGCAGAGATGCCAACCACTGGACATAAAAAATCTGGAGACTCTCTCTTTTGCATTACCCCCTCTACATCAAAGTTATAATAATCTTTGTCAGCAATGAAATACTCAGAAACCTTATAAGGCCATCCTCTTTTTTTTCTCGGTTTACCATAGTCCGACCGACCCAAATTTTTGGTATTTTCAAAAAAAAAAAGTAATGACGCAGTTACACCCTTTTTCACTTGAAATAATTCTTTTAATCTGAAAAATGAGCATAGTAACAGCATAGAGAAAAACAGGAACAAAAACATGAATATTTTTCACAGTATATTGTACAGTTTGTTAATCCAAAATATGTGAATGTTAACTTTTAACGTCGTCCTGGGGTACCAGGGCCTACTATTCCGAGACTTCTTGTGACTTTTTTTTCAGGTTTTTTTTTTTGTTTTCAATCCGACCAACCGACCCAATATCAGGAAATGCATTTGATGGTAAACGGAGAAAGAAAAGGGGATGGCCTAATGAGTCAAAGGATGTTTCAAGTTTTGGAGGAAAATGGGCTAAATTCCAAACTAAAGCACAAAAAAGCTCAAAAGTTGATTTTATGCAGGATATCCGGTGACCTATACGGAAGACTGGGAGACTGGTGCTATATCTTGGAGTCTCCCTGATAATCTGGGAGAGTTGGAATATATGAAAACTTTCTAGGGGGGGGGGATGGGGTGTCATATGTCCCTGCTATAAATTTTAAATATATCCATTTTGCATAATTTGAGGAGTAGGCCATGTCCCTGTTGGTATTTTACCCATCTTTATGTTTTTTGTTGCCATTTCATCTAGTTCTATGTCACTAGTTCAATGCCATGTCGCTTGTGAGAATTTTACCCCATACTAGCAGGGCCTCATAAAAAACCACCTATTCCAAAATACGGGTAATCTGCAAAATCTTTGTCACTGATGAAAGATGAGTAAAGATGCAATTTTTTTTAATTTTGTCAAAATTTGGGGCTGAATTCCAGACTCTCACCCAGAAAAGCCCAAAACCACTTTTTATCCACGAGATTCCTTTGGTATCCAGGAGACTCATGGCTCATTTAGAATCCAGGAGAATAGGCATTGCAAGAAATGGGATTTTTAGAGTTGAGTCACTGGTACTGAGATTAGGTCATGCATTTTTTCTGCTGAAAATGGGTACTCTAATGGCACTCATAGAACTCCCATTAATGATTGGTGTGTAGGGCCTAATTATTTTAGAAGCCTCAAGATTCACCTATTCAGTTTGTGGATATGGGTAAACTACCCAGACTCCAATCTCTTGATACAAGTATACTGCCACTTTTCTTTGAGGAAACTCCATTACTATATTTGGCTTAATGTCTAAGTATCCTGCTTATCAAAAAAAGTATAGCAATGACGATGATGATGATGATCCCCTTTTTTGAATTTGAAAACATGAGCAAACATAGGGTTAAGTAACTCACATCTCACTAAACTTTTTTGGCAGGTGAGCTGAAGAAACATGCCTCCCATTTTCATGGTCTTGATGGTTTAGGTGAGGTTGAAGATATTCCACACCCAGACCTTTCATTGCTGAAGACTGAACATGCTGTGAATGCCCTGATCAGACTTATCAATGAACATCCAGGGGAAATAACATTGGTTCCTATTGGTCCATTGACTAACCTTGCTCTTGCTTGCCGACTCGATCCAACTATTTGTTCCAAACTGAAAGAGATTGTTATCATGGGAGGAAACGTAGAAGCAAAGGGCAACACCTTTGTGACTGCTGAATTCAATTTCCATTTTGATTCAGAGGCAGCCCATATAGTGCTAAACGAATTCACATCTCCAATATCTTTGGTAACATGGGAAGTGTGCCTCCAACATGCCCTACCATGGGATTTTTACTATACCTACTGTGGTCTGGAGACAAAGAAAGCTCATTTTGTAAAGAAGATTACACGAGCAAGTTCAGATTTTTATAAAAAGAAGTTTGCAGGTATGGGTGTAGGTTATACAAGCTGTGACCCTTTAGCCTTAGGTGTTGCTGTTCAGCCAGATATTGTCTCTAAAGAGACAAGTGTGTATGCAACAGTTGAACTTCATGGGCATTTGACTCGGGGCCAAATGGTTGTAGATTGGCGAGCACATCTTGGAAAGAAACCCAATGTCAAGATAGTACAAGAAGTTGACCTGGAAGCCTACAAAGCCCAGATGATGAAGTCTGTGCAGTAGTACATGTTTGACTTTGTTCTGACAGTATATTGATAAGTTGAACCTACTTCTTTGACTGAGCAAGAACTGCCTTAAATTGTTAGATTTTTTTAGACCAATATATACTTCATGATACATATAGAAAACGTTTGCTGATGGGACATTGGTGAAACAAGGCATTTGTGGCGAAATGACCGGTCACCATTTTTATTTGATCCACATAGATCATTTAAACAAATTTATTATAAACTTAAGTTAGTAGATAAGAGATGATTTAGGCAACTACTGGTATTAGAGACACCCTTGAGACCATGAGTTTGTTAGTGTTGGTTAGCGAGAACCCATAGCAGGGTGCAAGTAGAAATTTCTCCAAAAACATTTGCTTTATACAGGTAATGTGTCTTTATATTCAGATTCATTGTAGAATCAACTCTTGGCAGACTGGATGAGTGGGAACTACTGATAGCAACGAACTGCATTCGCCCTTTAAGATAAGACTTAAACCAGTGGTGAGCCTTGTTTAGAATAGATTAAATTCTGGCGGACATGACAAAAGCGTGACCACGCAAGAGAGAATGTATGAGAGCTGCATGCAAAATTCGACCTGATCTTAAGAGAGGGCCTGATTACATCAAGGTGTGGGACCTCAGGCAGGTGAGGTAACCCACTTAGGTGGGGTAACCTGCCTGACCATATAATATCTCATTTTAATTTGATCACGTTTACATGATAGGTGGGGTGACCCGCCAAGCTGGGTAACCTGGTCTGCCAGACCGGGTAACCCTCTAAGCTGGGCTGAAATTTTGCCATGTAAACGTTACCCGCCTTGCCGGAGTCGGATTCCTGATACATCAAATTTGCGCAAAATTCACTCTGGCGGTAACTTTGCATCAGTTAAGGTAACAATAGAAAGCCACAGCACTGAAGGTTGTAGCAAGAGCAGCAAGTGAGTGTAGAAGAGCATTAATAGCCAAAACAGGTGGTTTGTTAGCATTTTTCTTGTTTGGGAGCTTAGCAACCATTCAATAATCTTGAGAAAGTGCATCCCGGGATGGTGGGGTAACCCCACCCCACCTCCATGTAAACAGGCCCTTATCTGGCTCCTTTCTATCAACTGGGGATATTCGGGCGGTTTTGTAGATCCAAACCCGGGTTCCGTGTTTTAGGTGATCCACACGACCCCCAGCCCCAACCTCTTCTAAATCGTCTCCTGAAGTTATGTGTAAACTGAAAATTCGATGATTTCGCAGAAGTTTCTGAAGAAAACCGTAGTTTTAGTCACCGAAGTGAGTGACTGGTTAACCCCTGGGCCAAGCCATTGTTTGAATAATAAACTCGTGCTTATCAAATTAATTAATTGAAAAGATTCTATATTAAATTGAAAAGTTCAGGTTTTTTTGAAATACCTCTTTAAACACTAGTCAACGGACTGAATGTAAGCGCTGCCAATGTCAAAGATATTTGAGAGATGAGCAACCCATTGTGGAGAAAAGTAAGTGGCAGGTTTTGGTAAGCTTTGCAATAGAACTCCGTTGTTGTCGAGTGTGTGGACATTCTTTTAGGCACAGAATTGCGAGTTTGTGTAGCTTTTTTCAAGAAAACGCCATTTTTTTGCCTTTTCCGTAGGGTGCCGCATTTTGGCACATTTTTAGACTTATAGGTGGCTTCCACCGTGGGGTATAAGCAACTTGATGAGAAATACGCGGCAAATGTCCGGGAAGAAAAGGAAAAAACTTCAAAAACCTTTCCTCACATCATCCAGCTTGGGGCGCCTGTGTACGTTCAAGTGTCTGCAATATTCTTCCTGCCCCTGATTGTGGGATAAGGGAATTTATCCAATTGAGTTTTAGTTTTATATCATTCTCTTGATACAAAACTTGTTTTGGGGGCAAAACTATTTTGAGGTAGAAAAAATGATTTAAAGAAAAATAAATATATAATATAAGATGCCTGTCGATTTGAACAAACTTTCTATTTCTGAATTAGAAAAACTAAAAAAGGGTTATACAAAACTCTATAAAGAAAAAACTGATTGATGAAATAAAAAAATTACGTAAAGAAACAGAACAGGTAAAACCTAAACCGAAGGAGTCAAAGATGAAAAAACCTAAAACTTTTGAACAATATTTTCAAGAGTGTATACAAAATAAAAGAATACCTCCAGATACTCCTTTATATTTACGAAAAGCTCTTGAGAGAGCTATGAGAGAACACACCTAAGGGATAGTACGAGAAAAATCTGCTTTTGAAGATTTTGTTAACAAATATATAATTGATGGTGAGCCTGGGTTACTTCCTCTAGAATTTTTTAGAAGACAGAAAGAGTACCTAAAGGAGTTTCTAAAAAATCATAAAAATACTAAAGTTAGGTTTGTGTTGGTTTGTATGATGGAGAAACAGGAAGGAAATGAAAAATTATTGTTTAAAGTCCAGGATAAAGCCTGTTTCCATTCTAATTTGCATATTAATCTTGAGTCAACTGATGAAAAGGACCTCCTTGCTAAAGTTATTCATACTATTCTTGAAAAGATAAATATTTACCAACAAAATGGAAGTGGATGGTATTTTAAAGAGATAGTTAATCTAGAAATTCATACTGTTAAATATTATCCCATGAAAGGGGGGTCTTATATTCCTCTTCCAGATTGGATTATGAGGAAAAAAGCGATTGTGAGTTTGAGAAACAATGATTCTAAATGTTTTCTTTGGTCTATACTTCGGTATCTTCATCCAAGAGAAAAAAATGACTCCCGTTTGACAGACCTCTATCAGTATGAGCATGAGCTTAATATTCCAAGGGGATTTACTTTTCCAGTTAAAATAAGAGACATCACCAAACTTGAAAGCCTTAATCCAGATATTCCAGGAATAAATGTATTTTCAGTTAATGAGTCTAAAAAGTTTTATCCCCTCCGAATGGCGTTACGAGACCCCCATAAAACAATAGACTTATTTCTTTATGAAGAGGATGGACAACATCATTATTCTTTGATCAAAAACTTTTCTTTTGTCTTTTTCGTTCTCAAATAACATCAAGAACAAATGAGCCAATTCATAGTTGTAAGAGATGTTTTACTCATTTTACAAAGGAAGACTTGTTACTAAAACACACTGCTTATTGTTTATCTTATGAATCAGCTGCCGTAAAAATGCCCCCTTCAAAAACTATACTCAAGTTTCAAAATTACAACAAACAGTTTCCAATTCCTTTTGTAATTTATGCTGATTTTGAATGTTTTACTAAACCAATGGGGAGCTGTTGCCCTAATCCAGAAAACTCATACTCTTATAATTACTAGAAGCATGAACCATCAGGGTTTTGTTTTTATATTAAAGGGATTGTTCCTGGTAAAACATTTAAACCAATTCTTTATACTAAGAAATCCCTAAATGATGACGTCTCTTCTATTTTTGTTTCTAAATTAGAAAAAGTTGTACATAAGATCTACCAAGATTTTTATTCTAGACCTCTACTTCTCAGAATGACACAAGAACAACGAGTTTCTTACAGTAAGTCTGAGAAATGCCATATTTGTAATGAAGAATTACTTCCCACGGATAAAGTTTGTGATCATTGTCATTTTACTGGGGAATATCGCGGAGCCGCTCATCGGAATTGTAACTTACAATGTCGAAAACCAATGATTATTCCAGTGGTGTTTCACAATCTTCAAGGGTATGATGCTCATTTGTTTATTAAACAGTTGTCTAGTTTGAAAGGTGACCTCACCTGTATTCCTTCAACAGAAGAAAAATACATTTCTTTTTCCAAAAAGATTAAAGTTGATGAGTACCAATCTAGAGATGGAAAAAATGTTTCTTTGAATATGGAGTTAAGATTTATTGATTCTTACAAGTTTCTTCAAACGAGTCTTGCCAATCTTGTTAAAAATTTACAACCAGATGATTTTTATAATACAAAAGAAATATTTAGGGAAAATGTAGATCTACTAACTCGTAAGGGAGTTTATCCTTATGATTATGTTTCCTCAATCGAAGAACTATCTGAAACACAATTACCTCCAAAAGAAGAATTCTATTCAAAACTAAATGATGAATGTATATCAGATGATGATTATCAACACGCTATTAATGTCCGGAATACATTCAAATGTAAAACAATTAGAGATTATCACGATCTTTACCTAAAGTCTGATGTTCTCTTGTTGGCAGATGTATTTGAGAACTTTAGAAAAACTTGTCTTTACCATTACAATCTAGATCCAGCACATTACTATACATCTCCTGGTTTGGCTTGGGATGCATGTCTCAAAGAAACAGGCCAAGAATTACAACTGTTGCATGTTTATGATATGTTGATGATGTTTGAAAAAGGTATTCGTGGAGGAATATCACACATATCAAAAAGATACGGGCAGGCGAATAACAAATACATGAAAGATTACGATCCTGATGAACCTTCTACTTATATTCAATACCTTGATGAAAACAATCTTTATGGATGGGCAATGTCACAATCACTTCGCACACATGGATTTAAATGGATGAGAGATTTAACAAAAGACACTGTAATGGACATTCTGGAGAAATCAAATCATAGTATGATAAATCCAAAGAATAAAAAAGGATATATATTTGAAGTAGATTTGGAATACCCCCCTGATCTATGGGCGGCTCATAATGACTATCCACTTGCACCTGAGAAAATGATTGTTAACGGTGTTGAAAAACTAATTTGTCATTTTAAACCGAGGAAAAACTACGTTGTACATTATCGAAATTTAAGACAATATCTTGAGATGGGAATGAGAATAACTGCTGTTCACAGAGGAATATCTTTTAATCAGAGTTGTTGGATGGAACCTTACATCAGAAAGAATACAGAACTTAGAAAAACAGCAGTCAACAGTTTTGAGAAAGACTTTTTTAAACTAATGAATAATTCCGTATTTGGAAAAACAATAGAAAACATAAGAAAAAGACAAAATATAATACTTGTTGATAATCGCCACAAAGCTGTAAAACTAACAAGTCGTCCAAACTTTGACCGCTCAACAATATTTGATAAAAATGTTATTGCAGTTCATATGAAGAAAACTGAAGTTTATTTCAACAAACCAGTATATGTTGGGCAAGCAATACTTGATCTGTCAAAAACATTAATGTTTAATTTTCATTATAATTACATCCGAAAGAAATACAACGATGCAGCAGAGCTAATGTTTACAGATACTGACTCACTTTTGTATCTTATCCATACGGATGATTTTTATCGTGATATATTTTATGACATAGAAACTAAGTTTGACACATCTGATTATCCCCCTAACCACCCATCTGGTATAAAAACAGGAGTTAACAAAAAAGTAATAGGAATGTTTAAAGATGAAGTAGCTGGTTGCCAGATTACTCATTTTGTTGGTCTTCGTCCAAAGCTTTGTAGTTTCAAGGTTGAGGACCCGACTACAGGAGGGGTGGGTGGAATAACCAAAAAGTCGGACGAAGTTTGCAAGTGTAAAGGCGTTAAGAAAAATGTTGTTAAACGCGAAATCTCATTTGAGGACTACGCCCAGTGTTTGTTTTCTGGTGAGAAGCAGATGAAGTCGATGAAAATTATAAGAAGTGAAAATCACGACCTCTACTCAAAGGAAGTAAATAAAATAGCTTTGAGTAATGATGGTGATAAACGCAGTGTAATGGAGGATTGTATTCATACGCTGGCCTTACGGTAAACCGCCTTATGGTAAACCGCTTTAAGATAGTAGAATATTAATAATAAATGAGCTATACAGAAGAGCAAATAGAAAAATATCTAGAAATATTAAATAATTACAATAACGCCTCTACCAACCAAGCAGTAGAGGAGGATAGAAAAGTTAAATGTTGGAATTGTCAAAGTGACGGAAGGGACTGTTTCTTTGTTAATTCAGGTTATAGCATTTGTGAGGACTGTGGTGCGAGTAACGGTTACATTTTGGGGTATTATGATCAGAAAGATTATGATCGTTTACATTTTCGAAAGAAGAGTATTTATCAGAGAAAGTATCACTATGAAAAAAAGATTGATCAAGTTTCTAAAGATTACACTTAACTGAGGAACAAAAATACGAACTGTACAATAAACTAATGACGATAGACAACCATGTCATGGAAATACTAAACAAACAATTTTGCCGAAAGAGAATGATAAGTATTTTTTATCTAATTAAGAAATTCTTAGAAGAAATGGGAGGTGAATCGAGCAAAGCGAGCAAACTAGTTTATCTAAAGATTTCTGGACAAACTCTGGAGAATTATGAAAAGTGGTGGAAATGTTTTAAATCTCTTAACAACTAAAGCAGTTCTAGCTAACCAAGGGAGGGTACGACTCCTCTGTGAAAGCACCAGTAAACAATTCCAGTTAGAAGACCAAGTAATTCATACTTTCTAAATGATGAATTAATGGCATAGACACAAGCTCGTCCAAGGCGGTACCGTTTCCAAAATGAACGAAAAGCGAGGCTAAATATTAAATGATTGGCTAATACAGTTGATTTTGATTTACAACTATGTTTTGCGTCAGAGAGTTGATAAATTATTTGATAAATGTTTATATTCTGAGTAAAGTATTTTGCATAGAGATACTGATAAACAAGACAAGCTTTAATAAAGTTATCACAGTAAAACTGTGTTTTATTTTTGGGAAAGTGAAAATTAACATATGCTACAATTGTATTTATCATTTGAGGTTTCCTCATTTCTATCTTATGTATAGATAGAAATGATCTCAACTCAAATAAGAAGACTCACATAAACTTTTTACTATATTTCTTAACAAATCTATCTGCTAAAGGAGTTTGATCAATTATCATTTCATCTATCAACTTCATGCGATCAATAAACTCTTGTTTGTTAAAGGAGTCACCCCTCAGAGCTGAACGTAATTCAACCAATACTTTGTCATATGTTGTAAATGCTATTTGTGACATTTCAATCTTTTTCTTGTAATTCTTCTTTTTTGCAAGACTTGCCACAATAACGCCAGCGCCATTTATTACACCGAGTATTACTGGATTTAGTGTTATTCCTCCGGTGATAGTTCCTATCACCACTAATCCCCCTCCAGTCAGCGTAAGTGTTTCATCAAGAAGTTTATATCTTTTGTACGACCGCTTAAAACACCAGTATTTTTTGTGACAATGTTTATAAAAATCTTTGAGACAACCGACGTCTGATTCTGACAGAGATTTATCAATGTGATTAAATTCAAAGATATCCTTCATTTATATCTATAATATATAAGATCCACTTAACTTTTCTTGAAGCATTACTTTGTGAAATTGCTCAGGGTCAAAGTCGTAAAAGTTTGGAGAAAACATTAACCTATTTAACTCTCCATCTTCAGTTGTAAACTTCCAACGTTGATTAATATTGTATTGAACGGCTGGTATAGTTAATGTTGAGCTGTAGTTACTTATTTTAACTTTTGTGACATTTGTATCAAAATTTTCTGTTAGCCATAAAACAATCTTTTTACCATTAAAATTACTTGGCATTGTAAAACTTTGAGTTGTTTTTCTGACAGTTAAATTTACTGAATTGTTTGTTTTATCATAATTTAATTTTAATAAAATGTTATTGTTTGTTGATATATATTTAGTTAGGCTAAAATTCCTATTTCTCCAATGATTAAAAACAATACATAAAGTAGATTTCGAAGAATGTGAAGGAGAAAAAGTAATATTATAACCATTTACATTTAAGCCATCTTCTTTTATATTACTTAGGTCTTTATTAGGTGGTAGTGTAATATTAGGCTTTAAAGAATTAATAATAACCCCAGATGAGCCTATATTTATTCCGTAAATATTCGCATCAGAGAAGTCATAGTATTCTTCAAAATATTTTCTGTACAAAATATTTTTGGTAAAAGGAATTAACTCCTTTACCATTGCAACTGTTGCAGCACTATTGTTACTATTCCTATCAAGAGCAATGTTTAATATCTTTTTATTATTTGCGTTGATGTCAACATTGTACTCCACTTGCGTTGGGTGGATGTCAAATGCGGTGTGATAGTCGTAAACTTTATCTGGATCGATATTACTAACTGTACCCACAATACCATAGGTAATCATGTAAACCCCTGAAAACTGTCTCGGATACACAGCCAGATCAGTTCCATCCTGAGGAATACTATTAACAATGTGAAGAAAGAACTTATTACCAGATGACAACTTCCGGAAATTAACTATTATTCTGTAATAATACATAAATTTTGGTTGATTTTTTGAATCAAGATACCTATGGGATAGTTTCCTTACACTAACATTTCCAATTGATAATCCTGTTGAAGTTCCTTTATCAACAGTTATTTGAGACTTATGCCACAGCTGATAATCAGTGTTGAGTATTTCCAAACACAGCGTGTAATCAGCATTTGCAGTTAACCTGTAAAAGTTAATTCCCATCTTATACTTATATCCACCTTGAGAATTTTTGTTTATTGTTATGAAAATTACTTTGTGGTTATAGTTATGAAAATTACCTTTAGAAGGAGATAAGTCTCCTATTCTTGTTATAAAAAAACTAGTTCCAGTATCTATTTCATCAGTCCATTGAGACCCACTTGACATAAGATAAGCAAACTGGTCGTTGTGATGACTTGGTTGAACTGCAGTATGATGAACTAGTTTGTCGACATAATCTTTGGTTACTGCTTCATTGTCTTGGGTTGGACAACCCAGATTCTTTATTTTATGACTGTTAAGATTCAAGTCTCCAGTCATAGCGACAGTACCATCTTTTTCCAAATAATGTGAATTTAGACCACGTCGACACAATAGATCCACATACTTTTTGGTTGCGGGGTCTGTGGGGGCCGTTGGCGGTCTTAAATTATTTATACTTTTGTTGTCCATGTCTAGATTATTAAGCATTTTATTTGTTCCAGCAACGTGGAGATACTTAAAATCTGTAAAAGTTAATGGTGTTGGTTGTTTTGGCCCAGTTGGAGCTGGCAGATTAAATATTCGATTGTTGTTCATGTCTAGATTTCCAGTCATTGGGGTAGTCCCATCTTTTTTGAGATAATCATCAAGTTCTGCTTTTGTTGCATGAATTAATGCTGCAGTGTTTATTGTATTTGTTGCTGTTTGATCAACATAGGATTTATTTGAAGCTTGGTCGTTTGCAGTTGGAGTCTTAACTCTGTAAATGAAGTTGTCTCCCATATCCAAATACGTCTGCATTGCTTCTGCTTCGTTTAATCCAATAAAGTTTTCTTTTACTTCTTCGTAACTAACTAATGATTTAGTATCTGCTTTGAGTTGATTAAATGTTCTCTTTTTGCTGTTCTGCATATTGTAAGAATTTTTTAAATTAATATCAGCTGTTATATCACCAACGCCAGCGCTGTCCAATTGTTTGCGAGTAACAGCATCATTTGAGTCTGTTCCATCACCAAGATTTGTTAGTTTTCTTTTTAACATATCATAGTTTCCATCTGCGGTTAGACTAGATCCAACTCCTGGAGCGCCTTGAATTCCTCGGGCAAATGAATGATTAGATTGCTCGTTAAATATTCCCATTTACTTAATAAGCAGACAATCATCTCTCCCTTTGGTCGTGTTTCTAGCTTCTATAAAGCCCCATAAAAGTTTGTAGCGATTCTTTTTTCTGGTTTATCTACGTACAAAAATGAAAACGGTTTGCTAGTGGCCGCTTTGAATTTTTCCTTAGATACACCAAGTTCACTCGAAATCATATTTCGCTCTCGTGAGGAGGGAAAATCATAAATACAGTAATGGGAGCAGTTTAATCTAATATCTTTTGGTGTCTTGTAAAACGACTGGGAAAGGTATATCACTGAGCAGTTTTTATGTCGCCCTTGAATAAAATAGTCTATCAATTCTCTTTGATTCTTATCACAGACGTAGTCATCAAATATTACTACTTTTTGATTGTCCTCATAATTCATTTCATCAACTGGTATTACCTTATCGTTACTAACATTAAGAATGTCATAACCAACCTTATGACTCAGCTGTCTCATTTTTTGTATCAGATTTTGATACTTCTCCTGTTCAAGATTGCGTGCATAAAGATATATCTCATCATAGTGAATTAGTGGCTCAATTAACATATGATACAATAAATTAGTTTTACCACTTCCACTATTTCCACAGATTAACATTCGAAATGTATCTGATGGCATGTAAGGTTTTATTTTCTTAAATTTTTTATTTTTATTCTTTTTTCCATCGTAGTTTGGTATTTCCATTTTATTATAACCAATAGATAAAATGGATATTAAACAAACTAAAAAACTTTTTAAGGAGAGTATAGAATCTGAATCTGTTACAAAACAGGTTAGAGATCGCATAAAGAAAACTACTTGGCAAAAACAAAACATGCGGGAGGGGTTTACAGAAACCTTTGATCCGCTAATCCAATCTCAAGATAAAGTAAAGAAAACAATTGACAAACAGTAAGATTCTCTGATTAAACAATTAAAAGAAAATCAACAAGCTATTACAACTGGCCTTGGTAGACTAAATGAGGATAATCAGCGAGTGTTGGAATTAAACGAATCGGCTGGAATTAAAATGACTGGTGAAACCACTAAGCCTAAGGATCTCAACAAAATATTTAATACTAGTGATCTGGTGATAATTAGTAAATATGGTATTCCTGCTCCCCAAAATTGGAGAGGAAGTACTAAACAAGATCTTGAGGATGCGCTGGATATTACAAATGATGAAATTAAGAGTCTTACAGGGAAAATTAATGGCCGCAGCAGAAAACAAAATCCCACAACAGAGGATAGAAAAGAAATTGCAGAACTGAAAAAAGAGAAAGGCACACTTTACAAATATAAAAATAACCTGCTAACTACTATTTACTCTACGCCTTCGTCTTCGTCTCACACTGGATCTGGTCTGCCCGCAGGGGCGGGACTGCTGCGCTCTGAGGATATAATAGATCGTATTAAGAAACTGGGTGGAGAGATTACTGGAGGAAACATGAATAAAGTACCAGAATTTCTTTATATTGCTAAGCAGCTAAATAAATCCGGTATTCTTCCAACAAAAGAAATGGACCAACTACTACGTAGATCAAGCGGTTTTGTTGTTGTCTAAACTCTAAATAAATGGATCTTAACAAAATGAGAATATATTTATTAAAACAGATTGAATCTGGTGAAGCTACTGATAATGTTCGTCGATCAATCAAGGAAGGAGAACGACTAAAAAATGTTTATAAACAAACATCTCTTAATATATTTGAGCCACTTTTGGCTTCACAGGGTCAAACCAAAGACAAGAACGACTAAAAAATGTTTATAAACAAACATCTCTTAATATATTTGAGCCACTTTTGGCTTCACAAGGTCAAACCAAAGACACGATAGTAGAAGGGTTTGACGCCATAATTCAACGTCTTGGTCGGTATCTCGATTCCAACGAAGCGGAACGAGCAAAGCTAGCGAGTGAACGAGCAAAGAAAAAGGGAATACAACAAATACAAGAGTCCACGGCGCAAGCACTTGGTGAGCCAATCACTCAACCAACATCAATTCAAAAAGCGGTTGAAGAGGGAATAGCCAAAATACAACAAGCTGCAGTGGAAAAAACCGCCGAGGCGGCAGCTAAGTCTCCATCTGTGCTGGGGAGTCTGAAAGGAATGTGGAATGAGTCCCAAGCGTTATATGAAGCGGATAAGGAAAAAGAACAACAACGAAAACGTGAGGAAAAACAGCGGCAAGCAGCTATTGAAATGGAAGAATTTAAATCTCAACTTCGACGAGAAGAACTTCAACTGCAACGGGAATTAAACCAGGAATCATTAAGATCCGTGGTTGATCAAGCTCGAGATTCTATCAATCAAGCAGTACAAGAGGGAATAACCCGTATTCAAGACTCTACCCAGTCACATGAAGATGCAATACTTGGAATACAAAGAGCAGCAAACCAAGCAATAAAGGACATTAAATTTGCAAAGGAGTACTATTCAAAATCAGGCACTACTAATGCACTCACTGCAAATGCAAGTACTAATACTCTTGAAGCTCCTCCACAACCTCTATCATACCAACCTCCAGCCACAATTACAGCAGATGACTTACTTCCAGAACTACCAGTGGTTCCATCAGCTAGTCCTCGCACTCCCGTGTTAGATGCAGAAGAATTACAACGACGTTTGGAAAAGTTACAAGAAGGAACTCCTCCTATGGACCTCTCAAAATTAAGAGGTGAGGTAGAGCGATTAGAGCCATCACAGAGTGTGGCATTTACTGAATTGCCTGGAGCACCAGCAGTGCCGCAGGAAAGCCCTCGCAAAGCAGGCGGTCCTCGACGCCGACAGATGGCAATGAGATTTGGGGCACAACCAATGCCTCAAGCTCCAACTCCACCAATAATTCCTCCAGGAAAATCATCAGTGGGAACAGCAGTTGGAGCAGAGGAAATACCACAGATTACAGCATCTGATATCCTTCCCCAAGCACCAACTCCACCAACCCCCGCACGATTTCCTTCAGTACTACCTTCAGTTCCACCTTTAGTTCCACCTCCACTACTTGAAAGACCATTTGTTTTCTCAAGTCAATTACAGCCGCCTGCTCCTGCAGCGCAGTTTCAATCTATGTCATTGCCGCAATCCCCATTTTCTACAGCATTTACAAGTTTACCGCCTCAATCCAATATTAAACCGTCTCAACCATCTGAGCCATACCTACCAAGTCCTCAAGGTTATTCTCTACCTCCCACTGACCGAGCTAAAATAGAAAAATTGTTTTATGGAAAGCCGCAGGAACCGTTAGGACCGTCAGGACCGTCAGGACAGCCTAAACCTAAAAATTCCAGAGAAGAAATGGAAGAAAGACGAGCAAGAATTATATCAGACATGGGTTATCCTTCTATAGATGAATTAGAAGGCATACTTTCAATAGATGATGTTTACAGAATGAGAAACGAACTTAAAAATGATATAAGAATACAAACAGGTAAATTAGTTGGTTTACAGAATAAGAAAAATAAAACTACAGAAGATAAAAATAATATCACCATGCAAAAGGAACTTACGGATACTATGGTAAAATATCGTAATAAACTGCTTGAACATCTTAAGTTTCTTGAGCAAACAAAACTTGAAGAAGGCGACGAAGGAGACGAGGAATCAGATGATGAAATATTCGGAGAAGGGCGAGTGAACCAGCGAGCCCGGCCAGGGCGAGCCCAGAAAGGTCAGGGTATTAAGTACTTTAATAGTCCCGCACAACTCTTTGACAGACTTGAATTACTTGCTGGGAGTATCTCCGCTGGAAATAACGGTGTTGCAAATGAGTTTACTGAAATTGCACACGTTCTAAGAAATATGGGAATATTGTCTCAAACAGCACTAAATAAACTACTTCGTAAATTCATCCTTGGTAAGTAATCACTACGTTATATCACTACGTTATATAATCAAGTAATAAATGAATGAATGAGCAATACATATCGCTTCAATCAATAGAGAAAAGAAAGGAAAAAACAGTCCTAGTGATTTCTTAATAAAGTTTAATCCACCTTTAAATCTCGATCCTGAAATGTCTCACAGCATTGCTCTTGACAGATTATTAATGATATATTCATGGTATAATATTAGAAGTACTTATAAGAATAATACATTAAAATACAGCCATAACGGCGGTACTAATTGGGAAACAATTACTTTTGTAGATGGAGCTTATTCCTACGCTGATATCAATGATTACATTCACCGGTACATGATACAAAAGAAACACCATTCAACCGATTCAAAAGGAGAAAAAGAATTTCATATCAATCTGAATTTTATTTTGTCTACCTACAAAGTCCTGATTACTGCTGACAATAATAACTAATAATTACCAATTAGATCTGCGAGGGACGAATTTTGCAGATCTGATTGGATTTGAAAAGAAATTAATCGACAAAACACAATACGGAACAAAACTCCCAAATATCACTAACTCAATTGATGTTCTGAATATTAACACAAACGCGATAAAAAATAGTATTGTTGATGGGAAAAATACTGATACTATTGCTGTTATACCAACAGATAATCTTACCAGATCTAGTCCGTTTACTTTTGAACCACTACGTCCGCTGTATTCTCCAGTATCATCAAATCAGATTTCTGAAATGAGGTTTACTGTAACCGATTCACTTGGAAGACTAGTAGATTTAAACGGGATTGATTGGTATATAAGTTTGCTTTTAAGATCTAAAGGGGGGGAATCCGTCGGTCCTTCGGTTGCAATTTAGTATAAATATAAAAGTAAAATGATGCGACAATCAGAGTTTAAGATGAAGTTTGACCCCGAACTGGGTCATTTTACTAAACATCATATTTATGGAGAAGGAGTTAGGTCTTTCATAAAAAATAAATTATCAAAGAAAAAGAGCCCCGCCCCTGTGGGCAGTTCCGGCCCTGCGGGCAGTATCGATAAAAAACTTGTTGCTGAAGCTGCAGCACTCAAAGTTCAACAAAAGAATAAAAAAGCTGGTGATGAAATAGCAAAATTGCTATCTAAAGAAAAACACCAGTCAAAAGCACCAGCCAGGACACCGGTCAAAAAGGTAACTTATAAAGAGCCGCCAAAACGTATGACAAGGCGACAGATAAATAATAGAGTAAATCAAATCATGACTGGGGCGGGGTGTGGCGGCGGCGGCAAAATTATATAATTATTAAATAAATATGAACTCGTTTAGAAATCCCAAATATCTCGAGAGAAGAGAAGATGT